GGGCAGGAAGTTGGGAAAGAAGCGCTGACTTGTCTCCTGGTTCTGAGTTGCAGCAGTCCTCTCTGGCAGCAAAGGACAACCCAGTGACATCAGCCTCTGACCAACTGTTCTAGACATTCCTCTTCCCAGGCAGGAACAAAGAATGGTACAGAACGACATGACACTCCACCACCATGGGGAAGAAAGTTGGAATGGCATTTCTAAAGAAAACATAGAAGAAATGTTACTTATGCAGCAAAAGAGGTTTGCTGTTTATTGGGTTGGCTTAGAAAAGAAACCCCCACCTACCTTTAAGCATGCACACATAATCCATCTGATGCCATCTATTCAGGAGACATGAGAACGGAGTTGAGTGGATAGACAATTTACCCTGGTAACTGGAACAGATCTTATCCAAACAGAACACACAGTTTGACTAAGAGCATGTCCCAATCAGAAGGTTAATGCAAAGCTATTCTGATGGTACAAACCTCACTGGACCGTGGGTGTGCACTTATACAACATGTGATCCTATGGGTCTCTGAGGCATGTTTTAAGGAGTCCATGAGCTTCAGCAAGATGGACATGGGACGTGTTTTCCCAGGGAGAGGGAATGGGACACACAAAGTCCAGTTAAGTTGGGAGGAAGTGGTCAGTCCAACAGCAGCAGCAATCAAGAGTGAAGGAATCTTGTTCATCTTTTGTAAGCTAATTGGGCCTGGGACATATGGAAAACAGGAAAAGAAGAACCCTTTCAGAAGGAAACATAAAGCCAAAGCTTTAAGGAGAAAAACTGATAATTTAATTTGTGATAGTAATGAAAAAGAGAAGTGGTAAACATGATGGCTTGAAACAGAAATCACGGTGTTTAAAAGTCAAAGAGCTGGGGAGATGGCTCAGTGGAATAAGTGCTTCCCTGGCAAGCACAAGGACCTGAGTTCAATCCCCAGTTCCGCCAAAAAAAAAAGTCAAAGAGTCAGGCCTATTTTCACAGGACTGTGGCCCCAGCTGTTTAGAAAACTGAGATGGAGGGCCAGCCAAATAGCTCAGTGGATTAAAGTGCCTGCAAGCAGGAACAGGGGCCTGGGTTTTGGTCACCAGGCCTGCCATTCCAGCCCCGCCCCCTAGGGCACTCTGAGACAGCAATTGAGAATGGGTGTGGTGGCACATGCCTGTAATTCCATCTTTTGGGAGGCTGTAAACAGGCAGATCACTACAAGTAGTGAGACCCTGAACACTCTGTAGACCCTTCCCTAAAAATACAAAAAGAAGAAGAAGAAGAAGAAGAAGAAGAAGAAGAAGAAGAAGAAGAAGAAGAAGAAGAAGA